GCAATGGAGGCAGAAAAATGCTTAAGAAATTTCAGATTAAAAAGAGATTGGAGGCCAGGCATGGTAACGCATGCCTGTAATCCCAGCAGCACTCGGGAAGCTGAGGCAGGAGGATCACTGGGAGTTCCAGGCCAGCCTGGGTTACATAGTTAAATTCAAGGCTAGCCTGAACTACAAAGCAAGACTGCCTCAAAAAACCAAAAAAAAAAAAAAAAAAAAAAGAGAGAGAGAGAGACTTACATGAGAAATGGCAGAAGAATCAAATAAACACTAAAGTGTAGCCAGGCATGGTGGTACACACCCTAATCCCAGCACTCTGGGAGACTGAGACAGGAGTTCACATACAAGTCCTAACCCGGCCTGGGCAATGTAGCTACTTAGTCAGATCCTGCCTAAAAATAAAAATCAAAGGAGCCAATGTGGTTTCACATGCCTGTAATCCCAGCACTCTAGGAAGCTGAGACAGTAGGAGTGCAAATTCAACCCCAGCCTGGGCAATTCAATGACTTAGCCAGATCCCATCTCAAAAAATAAATTAAAAAGGCCTGAAGATGTAGATTAGTGTGAAGGCCCTGGGTTCTCTGCCCAGTACTACAGATAAATTACTAAAGTGAATGAAAGAAAGAGGACAACATGAAGGCAAGTATAATAATAAATTTATCAACAGCTCCTTAAATACATCAGGGAAAATATAGACTATTTGTTGGTACTTAATGTTTATTGAGTATTATCTAGCATGTACTAAATATAAAAATACCTAAATCTATTTTTTTAAATGTAAATAGCTTTGGTATATGGAAAAGCTGATGCAGAGATCTATAACTGATACCTTCTAATTGCAATTAACTACATGACTTGAAGGCATCAGGTTTTTAAAACATCTTTTCAGAAGTCAAATTTGATTATATAAGTGATCATGTATCAGACTTACAGATTTACAAAAAGTGAAAAGGAAATGTTTGTTTTTTCAGTGCTGGGTACCAAATCCAGGGCTCAGTACATGCTAGGTGAGTGCTCTACCACTGAGCTATATTCTCAGCCCTTTTGCCAGTCTTTTGAGGTGGCCTTGTTTTTTTTTTTGCTGTTCTGGTTTGGTTTGGTTTTTTGAGACACAGGGCTTCAGGCTGGCGTAGAACTCACTATGTAGCCCAGGATGGCCTCAAACTCACAGTGATCTTCCTGCCTCAGGGTAGGCCTTTTGAGTTATAAATCTACTGCCTAGTCTTACAAACCACACCCATAATATATCATCTACCATTTCCAGTTTCGATTTCTTTAAACAGTAAAGCAAGAACTTAAAAAAATACTTGCCAATGAACTAAAAGAATTCTTCTAAGCAAGATACATCACGCGCAAGTATAAATTCCCTATAATGAATGTTATCATTATGTATATCTAAAATATACCAATAAATGTTTTGCTTCAAAAAAATAAAACAGAAGAAGCAAAAATAACAAGTTTTGCAAAATAAATAAAGAAAGAATTCTTCCAGATTCAAAAAAATTATAAGGGTTGGAGAAATAGCTCAGGGTACAGTTGTGCTTAGCATGTACAAGGCCTTGGGTTCAATCCCTAGGAGACATATATATGTTTGTTTACATATCTCCTCATTGACAGTTTATATTCAGTCCTTCTAGGGCAATTAATTTACTTTTCAAAGAAAAAAATCATTTCATTTTGCAATCAGATTTCATTGGCTTATGCAACTTTCTATTAAATTATATACTTATAATAGGAATCCAAGTTGAAAAGTGATCTTTGGCAAGTCTAACTGGTGGGAGCAATGCAATGGCCATCAGTCAATGTAGCTTGTAAAAAGAGAATGCAGAATATACATTAATGCAGTGAGTTGATTAAAAACAAGTTAATCACTATTCCTGTTTTAAAAATCTAAATTCATTTCTTATTGTTTCTGTTGCTGTTGAGACAGTACCTGGCACATAATAAGTATTTTAAGTATTTGTTGCTGTGTTAGCTTTCATATTCAACTAGGTACAGGTAATGATGCCTACAAGGCTAGAATTCTACCTACTTTACGGTCTCCAGAATCACAGAGCACCTACTTATACTTAAATTGCCAAAAGGAAGCAGAGTAAGGAATATAAACTATAATAGGCCCTGATTGAAAACATACGAATACATGATAGTTTTACACTACCAAAAGTGGATAATCCAGTGCTTAAAGGCAGAGATTTTTAAAAAGAAGTAGCATATCTCAAATATCAGGTCAATAAGAAATTAAGTAAATTCACAATCCATTGTAACCCTATCACTTCAAAACTGCTAAGAAGGTTTCCACATTCTCCTAAAAAGTGGCAGCTAGAATCTACTGTAGGTTTCTCAGTGGATATTAGGCTTCTTTCCCCTATCATCAACTCACAAATAACAGAAAATATCAATCTTTTAAACAATAATCACAGAGTACGTCCCAAAGCCCCAAACAAGTGATTTTGGTTTGCCAATTATCACAAAGTAAATATGCTAATGTAAAGCAAAACTAAATGCATATAAATGCACTATACAAGAAAATTTAAAACTTACAAATAAAAATCTAAATGTAAGTAACAGTAACTTAAATATAATAAACATGATAGTTTTGCAATTTTGTTCTAGCCTGTTTCATGACGTAGATCTAATTTCGTGTGAGAAACTTAAAGCAATATGACAGAAGATCTACAATAACCATAAAGTTTAAAGACTGAAGCTACTTATAACACTCTTGTCGACTAAGAAAGAATCCACAGAAGCACTGACTTTCTTCCTTCTAAGGACATCAAAAGTTATAGGACCAGGGATTTAGTTCAGTGGTTCCACTGCCTGCCTCTCAAGAGCAAGGTCCTGAGTTCGATCCCCGGTACCAAAAAAAAAACAAGTTATGTACTGAAATGTTACAAACAGGAAAATCCAAGAGACATCCCATGAGACTGCACCAGTCCCACTAGATGGCACCATCACCAGTAAGGCACTTTGCTCTCTCCCTCACGGAGCAGCAAGGGCTGAAACCTCTTGAATTTAGCAAAACTGAAAAATGTCATCAACAGTATATCTTCATTGACAAATTATGACCCATAACAAAAAATTCAAAGGTACGAGGAGTTTCGCCAAAAGCACTCTTTTTCCAGTACCACTGTCTCCCCAACTCCAACTCCACTGGCCCAAAAGGTTTCAAAGTCTTATAAGCAAGAGAAGTCATACAAAAATGTGTCTTTTTACTTCTTCGTAGTGCTGCAAACTAAAGAATAATTTTCTTCAAGCTTCTTTACTATAGAATACTTTCCTGCTGGTCCTTGCATAACATTTACTGTAAAACAATATACTTACCACGATGGAAACATCAAAATATATAATTAATGGCATAAAAACTGGAGATAGATGAACTTTACAAAGAACATCTTTCTTTTTATGTTAAAGACAGAACTTCCTATTAAATAAGTTACTGCATTAAGATTTTCTGATGTCTTAGTTACATGATTTTAAGTTAGGTGTAGGCAGCAAAATTCAGAATGTCACTTATGTCTATCACTTACGCCCTACTTCATCAAAAGCATAGTTGGATATAGCCATCGTGAACCTAAAAACAGAAGGAAAGAAAAACATCCTAACAACAAAACTAGTAAGTTGAAACTATATTCAATTTGAATACAAATTTACTGACTTACTCAGTGGGATCATTTCAATAGACAGATTTGGATATGAGCTTTATGCTGCTTTCCCCAGTTAAAAGACACATCAAAGGTCATCAGTAAATAATCAACTTAATCAGGGATCAATTTAACACTCAAATATACTGCTCACTTCTATCTGAACTTACTTTACCTAGGTCAGAGAATTTCTCTGTACAAGTTAAATCAATGTATAACACTCATGAGTATAGCCACTCCAGAATGCCACCAAAAGGCAGTTATTTAACTAAACTAGCCAAAGAAATCAAGAACTAATGTACAATAAATCCCGTGTTCCCATATCACTTTGTCACAGCTCCCACTACTGTATGGTCTCTCCTGTCTCTCCATATTGCAGATATAGACACTATGCTGAGGTGTCATCCATAACACCTTGCTCAATGCTTAGCATACTGTAGGGACTCAATATCTGTAAAATAAACGAAAACTATTAGGCTATCCCAGCTCACCAAAGTTGTGCAACCCATCAAAGAAGCTACCTCAGCATACGTATTCTCCTTGAAAAAGCAACTAACCAAAGCATGAGATTAACACCTAGGTTACCAGAAAACATAGAATTAAACCCAAGTAATGTGACAATCTTGGGTCAGTGAAGCTTTTAAATAAAGCATCATAAATATACATATCATACTAAATCCTTTGAGATTAGGAGATGAACAAGCACACACTAATAATGTACAAGAAGCCATAACACTGCCTAACTTCCTACCTGCACATTAAGGGGGGGGGTGATCTTATTTTACACTCCCACAACAAAAATAAAAACAATGAACCAAGGGTAAATAGGAGTAAGAAAGCATTTAGAGGGTGCAACCAGGAGGAATCTGATCTGCAGCTCTGGAGACTTCACAGAAGCAGTTCTTCACTCTCCCATACAACTACCCAAAGAACCCAGTAATAGAAGCTATGTGATGCTATAATTAAGTTTTTTTTTTTGAGTGTCTGAGATGTTTGAACAAAATACAGCATAGAGGGGCTAGGGATGTAGCCCTTTGGTAGAGCACTTGCCTAGCATGTCCAAGGCCCTGAGTTTACTCTCCTTAGAATCTAGATATACATCCTGTTAGTACTGAATCTTTGCAACAAGTCCCTTGGAAAGCCTCTCCTATGTTAGAAGGGGTAAAAGCATGTCTTTCTACATAGAAAACTTTCAAATGTACTACTGGAGTCATTGGGAGGATTTAGAAGTTCACTGGAACCATGAAGCAAATCTTCTCCTCTGTAAATCTATCACTAGGTTCCACCCAAATTGCTCTTAATCATTTTAAAAATGTGTTTAAATTATACTATTAACAATGCTCATTATCATCATCTTACCTTACTAACTCCAACTCCAGTAAACCTGGCCTCTAATAATTCCTGCCGACGTGGGTCCAGGCTATGCAATTCTTCCATCATTTCTACTGAAAAAGAAGAGATAGGCTGTGAAATCATAAAAACTAAAATGTGAGGAACCAATCTTATATGAAGTCCACATTGATTATTTCACTGAGTGGTCACATACAGGTAGGCCTCAAGGAAATGTAGCATACAAGTGATAAACTATAATATACCACAAATATATACATTTTTTGGTACTGGGGATCCAACTCAGGACCTTACGCTGTGAGGCAGGCGGTGCAGCACCACTAAGCTAAATCCCTGGTCCAATATTTTTTTTTTTTTGAGACAGGGTATCACTGGGTTGTTCAGGGTGGCCTTGAACTCACTATGTAGCCCAGGCTGGCCTCTGAAATCGAAGCCATCCTCCTGCCTCAGCCTCCCAAGTGCTGGGATTACAGGCATGCGTCACCACGTCTGACTCAGCCCACAAATAGTTATTTGATGTTATGAAAGTTATTTAGTTACTTAGCAGCTCAGCAGCCCTCTTCTGAGGGCCACTTACTCTCTTTGTGATTTGATTTTAACAGAGAGGGAAAAAAACACTTCAAACTCCTCATATAGTCTTTATAAAAGTTGAGTAGAGGGCCAGGGATTTAGCTCAGTGGTTCTGCTCCCTGCCTCAAAAGCCCAAGGCCCTGAGTTCAATACTCCATACCAAAAAAAAAAAAAAAAAAATGTTGAGTAGAGGAAAAAAACATAGGTTGGCTTGCAAAAATAAATCTATCAATCTTTTAATCTAGTTAAGTACTTTCCGATATTTTGTTCCCAAACATACAGGAACTAGTTCTTAAAGTAAAAATATGAATCATTAATAATTTCAAAAGAATATGGCATGAATTAGAAGCTACAAACAACTTCAAGTAACACTGCTATATAGCTCCTTTCCCTGAATAGCCCACGGTACCACATGAAAAAAGCAATCATTTTAAATTTAATAAAGAACCTATGGTAAAACCATCAACCTGCATTCATTCAGAAAATTAATACAACTCCGTAACAATCTCTGTAAAGTCTCTTTCTGACCACTCCCTGGAGCAGTAGGTTTCTCTGACCCTAGACATCTGCTTTTAGCACTCCTTCCAAGCAGGGAGGGGCAGGAGGACACCATTTTTAAACTCCTTCCCCGACCAATTAATGCACAGGTTACTTTGAATATGTCCATCTTTGCAAGAGATCAACTCTTGCACCATCCGCTGAAAATCCTCTGTTCAAATAAAAGTGGGAAATGAGCACGTATCATTACACAGAACTCCTTACTTAGAACATAGTATTAAGTACTTATTGGAATGATTAGCGAAATTTTAAAGTTCACTAACAACACGAAACAAACATTCTCCTCTGCAATCTAACAACTCCACAATTTCTAGTAACAACCCTTCCAGTTTCATTTCCCTTCCGGGATTGAGAGCCTGGGGCAAAGGGGAATGAAAAGGGTGACAAAATAAAGTTTCATCCACACATACAGTGCAGGTTAGCCAGGGAATTAGGAAATTCTCGCAGGGGTAGGTAGAAAGACATCTTTTTAAAAAGAAAAAGTGAAAAAGGAGAGTGAGAAAGTGAGTTTTCCCTAAGTAGGTAAGTGATCTTCCTCGCTTCTCCCCTTAGCCTCATCAGATCGGAATGGCAGAGGTTGCAGTCTCTTCTCAACCCCAAGGTCTCTCGCAACATTTCCCAAACCTCCATCCTCAGGCCTGGCCCGGAAAATGACGCCCCAGCGGTTATTCCATTTAATGTCAACTCATGTTAAGGAAATATCCACTCGGTCTCATTCCAGCGGGGCTTTGGATTGGGCTCCTCCCTGTAGCCCACGGCCGCGAAATAGACCGATGGGGCCTGGTCCCGGCGCCCCTCCCTGGCTCCAAACTTTCCCCAACTCCAGGCCCACCTGTCACGGAGGAAGAGAGCTAGCTCTCGGGGGCGCCCAGGAGGCTGCCGCGGCGCCCCCGTCTCTCCCGGCTGGCTGCCAGCCCCACTTCCAGGCCTGGGCCTGCCCGGTCTTCGGCCCGGTCCCTGGGCGACCCGCAGCGCTCGGGGAGCCCCTTCTGCCTCAGCGCCGCGGAACTGCGACCCCGCGCGAGCCCCGAGTGGGCCCGGGTCGCAGTCTCCTCAGGCCGAGAGGTCCCCAGGACGGTTAATGCCACAGGTCCGGAGCCCTCCCCCGCCCGGGATCACCTTCTCACCTGCCGCCGCCGCCGCTTCACGCTCCTCCCGGGAGGGGCCCCGACCCGGCCGGCAGCGGGCCGCTCCGCTCTCCCCCTAGGCAGGCCCGGGGCGGAGCCGGGGCCTCTCTTGAGCTCCGCAACCCCCCGCCCGGGCAGCCGTCGCCCGCGCCGGGCTCCACGAGAGGGCGGGCGGGGGAGGCGGGCCGCGGAGGCCGCTGATCCCCGGACTCGGGTACAGAGCCAGGCGCCTGACGCGGGCCCGGGCCCGGGCGGCCGCGGGGGGCGCGGGACCGGCCTCCTGGCGCCGGACAAAGGCCAAGGGAGGCGCAGGAGGGCCCAGGCCGGGCCAGGAGGTGGGGGCCGGCTCGGCTCGGGGCCACTTGGGTGCGGCGCGGAGGGCGGGGGGGGTCGGAACCGCTGGTGCCCAGGACCCGCCTCCGGCCCCTTAATCCGGATCGGTTCGGTCCGGATTAGTAGTGATCGGTGTAAACACACTAGTGAAACCTCGTGTTTCCTCGCGAGATTTGCACGGCTGGG